TTCTGACTTCCAGAGTGGTAAGATAATAAATTTGATTGTTTTAAACTACTAAGTTTTTAACATATTTTAAATTTATGTTTCCACTTAAACTGCTAAATTTCTGCTGATTTTATTTTTACAGCAGCAAGAGGAAGCTAACACATTTCCTGAGAGGCATTCAGGCGTGTGAGGCTAGATTCGAGGCGTCGCGGCGCAGAGGCCAAAGGCACTGTGGTGGGCGAAATCGTTCGGAGAAGGAATGCAGCGAGGCGAGGCGAGGCCTAGGGCGGAGCCTTCAGGGGGACGACGTCCCAGGGACGACAGACTCCCGCTGCTGCTTCTGGACGACCGGGCCTCAGGACAGAAGTGCGATCTGGTGGGGGAAGTGACCCCGATCACCCTCCTCACAGGTGGCACCTTCACAAGGCTTTAGGAGGCTACGGCGGAACGGTTTTAGAGGAAGCAGTGAAATGCAAGACCCTGAAGGAAAGCAGTGAAAGAGTCCCAGGGGTCACTCCTATCCCCTCTTGTCCCTGTACCCTGGACCCCCCCTGCCACTGATGTGGAAAGCTGGCCTGGGGCTATTCCAGAAGGTGGGTTGGGGCCCGGCTGACTCGGGTGCCCCCTCTCTGTCCTCCTGTTGTGCCCCTGCTTCCCTCCATCCCTGTCACGCTGCGTCATGCTGGGTGGTTTCCCTGCCTGTCCTCCCGGGAGGCGAGCCTGATTGCTTCCTGGGGTCCGGCCTCTGCCTTCACCCCCCGACCCCCAGGTCTCTTGTGGGTGCGAGGTTGGCGCTCAGGGACTGACATGCGGGGCTCACGGCCTCTCTGAGGGGTGGATCTGGAGATCGCGTCTGAGAACGGCATCGGCGGGAGGGAGGGGCCGTGGGGCAGGGGTCCTACTGATGAGTTGGGCGAACTGCTGTCATAGTAGAGTCACATTTCCTGCCTCTTTCGGTCTCCTTCCCTGAGACCCCACAGGAAGTGGCCATTATTTATGTCCACAGTTCCTTATTGATCACCGGTGAGCCCAACTTGGTCTACGTAATCATCAGAGGGCCTATAGCAACTGCTGGCCTGGTTTTATGCAGTCGCTTTGGGGGTTTTGCCAGAAGGCCCTGCCGGGCAGTGGGAGGTGGCCTTTGTTCCAGGGGTGACCCTTGCCAAACCTTCTGTCTCTTTGGAGCAGGAGAGCTGGACTGAGAGACGGCCTGGGGTCCCCCTTTCTGCGCCTGCTGTCCACAGGAGAGAGGGCATGGTTCCTCTGGGACAGCAGACCCTCCGGGAGACCCGAGGGAGCTGGCCGCAGGGTCAGGGGCTGGTAGGACCAGTGGGGCCCGCGGAGCGGTGTGCGGCCTGCAGGGGTGGAAACCTCGGGCAGGAACTGGCCACTCCCCCCGGGTGCCAGAGCACAGGCTCAGGGGCGCAATGGTGCGCGAGGTGGGACCTGGACACCTGCGACCAGGTTTAGCAGGGTCAAGGAGGAACCAGGTCCAAGGCTCACCGGTGACCCCTCTGTAGTCCTAACTGAGACAGGGAGGGTCTTTTGAGAAATGAGGAGCAGAGCAAACAGCCCACAGCCCCTCTTCCTGCGGGAAGGCCTGGAGCTCAGCAGCTCCAAGCCCTTGAGAGATGCTGCGGGTCTTGACTGTGGCCATGGTACTGAGTACTCCCTTGGGAGGTGATCTTGAACTCTTCCGTGGGCTATGCGCTTGGCCTCCAAAGTGACAGGAAGTCTCAACAGCCAGTGCCAGGCCGCTCTGAAGCCTCCTATTGGCCAGCAGGAGAGTCTGGCCTGTGCACCAAAGGCTGGGCTGACCAAGGCCACCCTGCTCTGACAGCATCTCTCCTGCTAGAGGCTGGAGACCCTCTGTTCCTGCCTCTGACCACTCACACGGCATAACACCAGGAGGTCAGGGGACGAGAACACGGGGGGCCCTGGACGCAGCTTTGGGCCTAAATCTCTGATCTGTTGCTTAGGGGCTGTAACTCACGGAGAATATGATCATCAGCCGCTATGAGGCACCCGAGGAACCTGCATGGAATCCATACTGTCCGCTTTCTTGTGGACAGCTCCCCGGGGGTTGGGGGGCGGGGGGGGGGGGACCTGAGAATGTGTGGTGATGAGAGGGGACAGTTTAGAGGAATGAATTAGTGCCTCAGTCTTGGAATTTCTTATGGAACAGAATGAAAACACGGCAGACCCTGTTAAATAGAATAAGTAGAGTTTACTGATAAGTAGAATGTTGAGTACAATTCAACATCGCATCAGTTCCTTTAGGCCTCGGATTAAATTGAACTCTCCCAAACAGAATAGCTATGGGGAGGAGGTGGTAACGCAAGCCAGGCAGCAGGGCACGTGGATGCTGGCCCTGTGCTCCAGCCACGGGCATGAGAGGAGTCGCTCCGGTGATGCTTCGGTCCAGAAATGTGGCCTCTGACCTGGGCTGTGCTCACAGACCAGACGCGCCCATCCGTCGGGCTTCCATGGGGTGATGGTCTTTGGCAAAAGCCCCTTAGTGTGACGCTGGTGTGCTCCTAGGCCCGCATTCAAGGGGGGATCTCAGTGGGGTTGAACGATGCTTGGTGATACTTCCTCGGAGCCCTTTCTTAGCTGTTCTTGCTGAGAGACGAGCTTGAGGAGCAGGGAATGTGGGCGGGAACTGCTGCAGACTGCCAGGTGAGTCCAGGCCTTTGACACCTGGTCGGGCCCTGGCAGTTCTCAAACTTCCTGCCACTAAGACATAGGGGAAGGGACACCCGCCCGGGGCCTCCTCCCCCAGCTAGGCCCAGACTGCCGGCTTTTGGGCAGATGAATTGAGACACAGGGAATGTGGATCTCCCGTGAGCTAAGTGAGAGACCACCCATTGCTTCCCCTGTAAGCGAGCATCAGGGAATTTGGGAGTGATATTATAGGGCCAATACAAAATCTGCCTTCATGTCAGAGAAAGGAAATGATCTGCAAGCCCGGTCACTTGAGGCACTCGAACAACAATTAGTGACATAGCACTTGCAACGCCCCAGGATATTGATCCTGACCCCCCGTGTGCAGGGGACAGGTGGGCTAAACACCCCTGAATGAATGAGACATGCCCATTCTGGGTGAAGCTCCAAGGCCACGGGCTTCCTGAATTCTGATTCCTTAGGTAGGAGGGCTAGGGGATGTCCCATGTCACAGGTACCCGCTTTCATGGAATTTCCCATGCTGCTGGGGGCACAAGGTGAGGTTCTGACTCTACATATGGAAACACCAGGAAGGATGGAGAAACCAGGATGCCTGTCAGAGAGAGTAAGAGGTTGCCATGACGACTGGGAGGCCAGAAAACTAAGGAGTGAAGGGAGTTAGCTCAAGCCAAGGGTGATGGCGTGCAGGATGCCTTTCGCTCACAGCTTGTTATCAAATGTGCTCCACTGGTCTGGGCCTGGCCCAGGGTGGCGTGGTGGCAAACTCTCTCACAGGTCACCCTCCTGGTCTGTCACCTAAGAGTCTGTGCCTACTACAGGAAGCCCCGGGTTTTGGGAGCACCTACCACATGGGTACTCTCTGTTCGGTGGGCCCTCTGGAAACCCCCGTCTATTTGTCCCAGGAGAAGCTGTCCTGAGCCACTTGGGGAATCACAGTGAGGGGCAGGCCACAAGAACGGAGTAAACTCAACATTTGGGAGGTTAGGAAAATTGTTACGCAGTTTCCTGAATTTTATCAGGCTCTGCGCCCCCAGCTTTTGCACAGATACTTCCTGCTGCCCCAAATGCTTCTCCCTCCTCCTCCCTGCTAGCTCTCATCTTTCCTGTTGGTCTCAGTTGGACCGACACAGCGCAGCAACCCCTCTGTCCTCTCTCGGGTCCGGCTTCGACGCCCCCCCCCGCCCCCCGCATGCTCCATTTCCTCATCCGGGGCCGGCACAGGCTGTCCCCATGCCCATTGGCTTGGCCGTTTCTCTCACTTGGGAAGGAAGATTAGAACAGAGAACATGTCTGTCTTGCTTTGAGCCCAAGGCCTGGCCCAGAGGAGGGCACTTGAGATAGGTTTGCTTGTTTGGAGCGGGGAGGCAGGGAGCCATTTTTGAAACTGGATTTCATCTCTGGATCCCTACAGACCATTCAAGGGTGGAAAGCCACCTTCTTGGTTTCGGTTCTCAGGGGAGGTGGAGAGAGCAATCCCAGAGAACCCTCTGCAGCTCTCCAGGCTGCTGTTCTAGAATCCAGGGCGGGGCCAAGAGGGTGTTAGGGCAGCATGCACTTGTCCTTGACTAGCTGGCAAGTTTGGGGGGAAACAGTCAAGGGGAAGGAGTTAGAAGGTCAAGGGGAAACTGTGATACCCCAGAACATGCCCCACTGACTCTGTAAATACTGTATAACTGGGGACTGGGCTTCCTCGGCTGGCTGGCTCTTAGAGCCGCGTCCCCAGAAAACGTGCCCTCCCCACCTGCTTCACCGTTCACTCTTTGGAATGTTTGATACTAGTGACTTGTCTGATCTCTTGAAATGCAAGTCAATATCTCACCCACGAGGAAACTAGGCTGGCAAACCCAGTGGCTTGGGAGCCAGCCCTCCCTCCCCTTTGTGACGTACCACTTCTGTTGTTCGGTTTGGTTCTAGAAGGATGCAAACGTGGAATCCAGCTCAAGCACTCAGATACGTAAACATGAGGTTCTCCTGGGGGCACAGCCCATCCCAAGAATTTCCCAACATGCATAGCACGTGGCAGAGAGAGCTAGGCGAGTGACCCCTGAAGGCATGACAGGGTGTGGGAGCCATGAAAGGGATGGCTGCGGGCAGGGTTCAAGGGGAGCCTCAGGAGTAACAGACACTGAATGAGTTATGTCCAGCAATGCGCCCCAGCTACGCAGAGGGGAGCCCTGAGCTCTCACCTTCCCCCAGATCCAGGAAGACGGCTAGCCTGGGTCATGTTTATGGCAGGCGCCACCACCAAGGAGAGGGGTGTTGGATGTCGGTCATCAGGCCTCCTTCTCTGGGTTGAGGTGGCGGGATGATGGGGAGGACAGGAGGGGGGGTCGCCATCAGCGATTTAAGAAGAAGGACTTGATGCTCTGGAAGAACATGGGCTTCTGTCTCTGCTTCTGTTTCTTTTTGATGATGGGCACCCACACCAGCCCGCACACCAGCATCATGAGTCCCAGGGACAGGAAGGCCGGCCCGATCATCTTAAGGGCCGTCAGGTACTTTCGGTCCAGCTTCAGGGTGTAGGCCAAGCAGGTGATGACCACGCCGAAGAGGAAGATGGCGCCGCCCACGGACATAGTGACGATGGGCTTGTGGTATATCTCCCACTTACTCCTGGGGGTGGTGGTCCAGACAGACTCGCTTCGGGAGCTTATGCACAGGGAGCTGGCGGTCTGGCTGGGCAGCAGGTCCTTGGATTCTGGAGACTTCTCGTCGACCTCTGGGGCTTTGGGGAGGGGCTCCATGGTCACAGCTCCTCAGGACCCGACACCTGGGACCCAAAGCAGGCCGAAGCAAGGACCAAGCCAAAGGGTTCCTCACGCCCCCTTCCAGTTCCCAGCATCTGTCTCCAGTCCAGCTCTCAGTGGAGGGCTCGTCAGGGACTTGGTGCTGAAGCCAAAAGGAAAATCAGGTGAGAGCCATGTGAAAAAGAAACCGCTCAAGGAGGTATGTCGTCTCTTGTGAGAGATAAACACTAAGTCATTCTAATCAACTGCTTTTAGTATTTAAAACAGGGAACAGTGGTGCCCATTAAGTAAACACATTCAACAGTGGACTCACTGGCATCTTCAGACTCAATCACTTTCTGGCTCAGTGATCTTCAATGAGTTGCTTAATGTCTCTGTGCCTCAATTTTCTTATCTATAAACTGGGGTAATACCACTACTTATAGGGTCTTCAAAAGGGCTCAATGAGTTAAGACATGGAATGCATCGGAACGATACCGAGCATACTGCAAGCGCTCCATAAATTGTGTCAACTGTCCATTAGGGTAGTGATACCTTATACATAATCCTGTGTGGGGGCACGCACATGTGTAGTGTCTGTTATGTGCCAGGCAGGACACGAAACACTTCTTTCATCAAATTGGAACCTCACAATACCCCGTGAGTAAGCGTTCATCTTACTTTACAGGTGAGCAAACCAAGGCTCAGGGACGTGAAGCCATTTACCACAAGGTAAGGAGCTGCCAGAGGTTGGATTGAACCATCTGCTCTTCTCTTAAAACACCAGGCAACATAGGGGCTGGAGAACACTTTTTTCTTTTTTATCCTCATCCCGAAAGATGCCCACTGATCTTAGAGAGAGGGGAAGGGAGTGAGGGAGATAGAGAGGGAGAGAAACATCGATGCAAGAAAGAAGCATCAGTCAGCTGCCTGTGCCCCTACTGCCCCTACTGGGGACTCTGAACCTGCAACCTAGGTAGGCATGTGCCCTGACCAGGAATCGAGCCTCTGACCTTTACGGTTTACGGGATGACGGTCCAACCAAGTGAGCCACACCGGCCAGGGCTGGAGAACATCTTTTAGTGCAGCCTGGGAGTTTGTGTGCTTTGTCAGCACAGCTCTGTCAGGTTCAAAGTGTGACCTTCTCATATCTAAATGACCCCTTTCCCCATCCCCCATGTGAACAATATCAGAGTCCCACCTTCTCGCTCGTAAGCCTGTAAGGGAAGTGGACTCGAGCCCACCTGCCTGTTCCAATTTCTCATCTAGAGCCCATCTGTGTGCCTCTCAGTGCTAGTCCCACGGGCAGGCAGATGGTCCCCTGTGTGGAGTAATTTCAGAGCTGCCAAGAGGCACCGTTCACCTGCCAAATACTTCCCCAGAGCCATGCCGGTGGGATCAAAACCTTTCATTCCACAATTAGAAATTATGGGTTCAAGGGCAAATGCCTATATATTTGCAATGAGGCATAAAGGGATGAATGAGTTTAGATACTTTCCTGAGATTAGCCCCTTCTGCGTGGGGGTGGTGGGGGGAGGTCAGGGGAGGGGAGGCCAGGGACCTGTCTGGAGGTCGGCACCGAGCCACCACCTGACTCACCTTTGAATTGTCTCCAAAGGGCCTGGGGCAGTCAGCGCTCTGTGCCGTGGAGATTCTGGAGATTCTGCTTTAGTCAAACGTGTAGGAGAACGGATGGCTTCCTGTCTGCCTCTCCCACTACACCCCTCCCTCTTTTCTCTCCTTCCCTCCCACCCCCCTTCCCTCCTGCTGGCCACTAACAATAAATCCAGCTTTCCTAACAACACCACTTACACCAGCTCCGTCCCCCAGAGGGAGCTGGAGCCTCCCCGGTAAGCCCCGGTGGTCTGCGTTTGGGGTTATGCTGGCCCCGCTGTCCCCTTCCCAGAACCTGCAGACTCGCCCGCTGTGCTCCCCCGGGCCCCTGCCCGCCTCTCTCTGGCCTCTGCTCCCTTCCCCGACCGGCGGCCCTTGGTCCGGGCTCCTACTCCCTTTCCTCCTCCAGGTTTCCCGGCTTCTTCCTCTGACCTCTCCGCTCACATTTCCTATGGGCTCCCTCAGGCCCCGCTCAGTCAGCATTTACTAACATCCCTCCTGTGAGTGGGACCACAACCGAAAGTTTATTGGGGAAGAGAGTTAGGCTATTTTTCCCAGTCACAACGGATCCCCATTACATACCCCAGATAGACTGAGAGCCAGGCCCAAATATGGGGGGCATTTTTGGAGGCCACTGGGCAGGCCCGGGTGAAAGAGAGATGGCTTGGGATCAAGGAGAGGGTGTCTGCAGCTGGTGGCTCCCGAGCCCCCGCTCTCTGAACCTGCGGTTTCTTCTTCACCAAGGCCCTTCCACACCTAGAACCCTCCTTTAGTGAATGGGTTCTCCTTCAACACTGCCTACGAGGTTAATGCTCCACCCCCACCGCCACACCCTTTCAGGAACTCAGGCCCGGACGGGCAGAAAGTGTCCCCACCCTCCCCAGAGCACAATGCCCCCCTTTCTAGGCCAGCAGTTTTTAAGTGGGCCTCGCCCCTTTGACCAGGGAGGAACCGGGGACTGCGAGATCGCCATGCTTTCAGAACGTAGGTGTTCACAATCAGGCGCACTCCTCTAGCGAGAGGACACTTGGGATTTCTGCTTCCCAAGACTGAAACACAGGATGGATGTGCTTTGTGAGTACAGACACCTGGTGTTCGCCTCCCTTTCAATCCTGTGGTGTATTTGCATAAGCTAGGTAGTTATTTTAAAGTGCCATTTCCCCCTGCGGGCCCAGGCAGCTGGGAGCCCGGTTTTTCCGGTGGGTGGGCGTGAGGACGTCTTCCACCGGGTTGCTTCTGGGAAGCCGTCCCCACAGCTGTGTCATGAAGACCCAGGCCTACTCGGCAGGTGACATCGCGGGAATCGGGCGGTTCCCAGCGGCGCCGGAGGAGGGCTGGGCTGAGTCTGGAGGGACCGCAGCCCCGAGAGCTGCCTTCTGGGGGTGGGTGGCCGTGGCATCCCAACGGAAGGGACGTGTTCACCTGGCAGCAGGACCTCTGCAGGGACCACGGATTCCTGGACTGTGAGCGAGCGAGGTGGGACAACTGGGCCTCGCTGGACGCGCCACACACGTGCTCTTTGGCCCTGCGGAGAGGTCGTCCATCTATTCCTGTTGTATAAGGGCAGAGGCTGAGGCCGGGGGAGATTCAGGAGCGGGCTGGAGCACCCCATTTCCTAGGCGCTAGGCTGGGGCTCAGGCCAAGGTCTTCGGACGGAGAGCACACCTGTCTGGATGAGTCCCCAGGGTCCTTCAACTAGGAGAATGTCCGAATTTTTCACTTTGGGGCTTCACTCTGCAGTTAACCAATCTCTCACTGAATATGGGATGACGTTCATAAGTAATTGCATAGTGACTCACCATACTATAGGGCAGTGGATTTCAACTGCTGTGCATCAAGAATTTTTAAAATATGGAAACTATCTAGTCAGGGGTACTGACCTCTTTTTCCTTATATTGTCAAAAAAAAAAAAATGACAACAGCCAACACAATAGTCATCTGATGGGAATGAATTGAAATTATACTTTTTTTTTTGTCAGATTGGCAAAAAATACAATATGCTTTTTGGTGTGTTGTGTGTGCTGTGAAATGAAAAAGGTTGAAAACCATTGCAGTAGGGACATGAGAACGCTGTTATAAGTTTCCATATACTGTTACATTTATTTACTTAAAGGACTAATTTTACTCTGAGATTATGTCCTTCTTTCCTTGCTTGGTGTCACTTCATTTTATGAAATGACTGCGATGGAAGCTGATCATTAATTTTGTCAGTATCTGTATTTGCCAAGATAAAGGGCTGGCCATCCTGTGTAGATGTCTGCCTACCTGCTACCTACCATCTACCTATCTGTCTGTATTTATTTAACCTGTCATCTAACTGTAGTGGCCCATGAAATCCCAAAGAATGGGAACCTTCGATCGCGCTGACTGACGTAGGCAGATGTGTGTCCTTGGGACAGTGAGTGAGCGGGCGGGGGAGGGGGACCGTGGAAGGACCGTCGTGCTGGGAAAAACCACTGCTTCCCAGGAACAGTGTGTGACAGAAAGATCCAGGTCTTCGCCATCAGAAAAGTGACTGTTTGAACCCAGTTTCCCTCCTCTAAACTCGGGGACTTTGGGCAGGTTACTTAACTCCCATGGAGACTTCCCAGCACCAAGCATAACATAAGGATGATAGCGTATCTGTCTCCCTGGGTTGTAGTGACTATCAAATTTCACAGAACACTACTGCATTGTGTGACATATTTTAAGTGTTCAAGAAATGGCCCCAGTTGCTATTATAGGTAGGTTTTGGGGTTTTTTTTAATTTTTTTATTTTTGGTCCCTGTTTTCTCACCTGCAGAATAAAGAAGTTGGGCTAAGGGACTTCTAAAGCTTTTTAGAGAGGCTTGTAGGTGGTGAATCGAATGTGAACCCTGAGACTCCAGGCATCATGAGAAGTCTCCCAAAAAGGGGGCAGCATGAGTTTTGTAACTCTATATTAAAACCCTAAAAGATTCAATCCTTTTTCTAATACCAGGTTTTCTTAATAGTGGTACTGCTGATGTTTTGGGCCCAATGACTCTCTGTTACAGGGGGCCGTCCTGTGCAGTGTAAGATATTTAGTAACATTCCTGGCCTCTACCCACCAGACACCAGTAAGCACTTCCTCACTTACAGTCTTAATGATCAAAAATGCTGCAGACTTTGCCTCATGTCCCCTGGGGGACAGAATCATTCTGGTGAAGAACCTTGCCGCACAGTGGCCTTTCCCTTCCTCCTCGCTTGCAAACTGCCTCTGGGCCAAGGCTGAGTTTACTCCCCTTCACTCAACAACGTCCCGTGGTGCACAGCCCGGCACTCAGCAGGCGCTCCGAGGACTTGGCCTGGGCGCTGCGGCTCTGTGAGGGGCCTGGCAACACCCGGGGAGCTGACCCCATGAGAAGAACCACAATTTCAGGTGTGGGTGAAGTTGCTGGGGGTTT